AAAAAAAAAAAAAAAAAAAAAAACCCTGCACTTTTTAGAACTAATACAATATAAATTCTACCATGAAGTCTTGCCTGGCCCTTTCCCCCTCACAACCAAGCAAAGGCCAGGCCATGACTCCTGCGCCTCTGTCTCCACACTGCCCCTCCTGCTGACCGGGGCAGGAGATGCGGGCCTGTTAGTGTTTCTCCTCACTCCCACCCACCACCCTCAGGTTTCATCACTACTTTGCTGTCATAACCATCTCTGTGGAGATAAATCTGACCATATCTTTCCTGCTTTAAAGCACGCTTAATGATTTTCAAAAAACAACTGTTAACCACTATCGGTGTGTTCTTTGGCATCAGACCCAATGCCTTTTCCCACCTGGCCCCACTCTCTGTTCTTCAGCTGAACGCCCCAGGATCCCATCATGACTAGGTGTGCTGACTCCTGAGGGACTCTGTTAGCCTTTGTCATGGCCCTGCTGCCTGAATCCACCCCTCCTTGCCCACACATTCCTGTTCCAAACATTCCTTGTCTCCCACCCTCTTCATCCTCAAGTCCAACTCAAATGGCACCTCCTCAGTGAGCCCGATTCTCCCGCCCTCTATGGGTCCAGAGCGCCCTCAGCGCTCCTGAGAGCACTCACTCCTTCACACCCAGAGATCACCTAGAAGACAGGTGTTGAGTAAATACATGTTGAGCACATAAATATACATGCCAACCAATTTCTTCACACACTAACATTTGATATATGAATGACTACATGAATTTTTTTATGTGGCCATAAAAAAGACAATTGTTTTAAATCTGAATTTCTATTTGACTGACCAGTACGATCCTATGAATTTTATTAATTGTCCCTTGTTCATAATTGGATAGGCTCTAAAGTCACATTGCAAGATGAATGTCCATTTTGTAACTGTGTATTCAAAGTGGTTAGGATAGATAATATATAGTTAAATTCTCTTAATGAATAGAGGGATTTGTTCTAATAGTGTTTGTAAATAGGATATCATGTCCTCATCTTGTACAGCAAATAACCACTAGGAAGAATGTATGCAATGCATTAATTATTGAATCTGTCCTACCAATTTGGTTTGAAATTGTCTCATTGCTATTTGTTTCTCAATAAAATTATGGAGAAAAAATAATAAAAATTACAAATAAATAAATAAAGTCACACTGCATATTGCAATGGTTCGACCATTTGTCTGTCCAATACACATGGAAGCCTAACTGCCATCACAGCAGGACCAAGAGGAACTTATAAGAGCCAAGTGAGGTCAACATCAGCACCCAAGGGTGATTCAGCCCCTTGTGCCTCTTTCTTACCCTTTCTCTTTGCCATTCCACCGTGTACCATGCAATAAGCAGCAAGAAGACCCTCGCTAAAGGCCTCTCCAGGTGATAAGGGACATCTTAGGCTCCCAACCTGGAGCAAATAAAGGCCTGTTTACTATGAAGCACCTAGTCTGTGGCCCCCTATTATACCAGTGTGACAAGTAAGACAAATATATTCAACCTACTTAGACCAGAGAAACCAATGGAGGGGGGAAAAGTTGAACCTCGCAGGGTCTATCTTGCTGCCTAAGTGACTAAACGAAACACAGAGGGACAAGCCAGCCCTCATAGCAGTGTTGACCAGCCATGTCCTAACTGTACAAGCCAGCCAGGCGGTGGCAGCAGCGAGGGCAGAAACCTGACTTCTAAGCATTCAGGGCTTCAGCACTGTCATCTCCATTAATCCCTGCGCACACCGTGGGGGGTTAGTCCTATTTCAGAAAAGAGCTGCATATGAGGTTAAACAGCTTCTCTAAGTCAAATACACTGTGGAAATGCAGTGCAACTCCAGGCCCACCTGACAGTAGATGCTCAGCCCCACCTCGCTACACCCACAGTGCAAAATCCAGGATGTCCGGGTCCCCAGGGTCAAAGCTTATTCCTCCCTGAAGTTTTCTTAAATATTTAGGTATCTTCCTGCCAAGTATCTTCCTTATCTTCGCAGGAACACAGATCCACAAATGAATCCGCCACCTAGCCACTCGTTCAGAAAAGCACAAGTGACTCACAGGCCCTGGGGAACTATGATTGTACTCTTGGCCACACCTGTACTGAACCCTTTACACTTACTAGCTTACCAGTTTACACACTGTTTTACAAGACAAAACTCAAAAACCTTCAAACCCACATATTCTACTTGAAGAAGGCTGAATAAGAAACAAAAACAGTATAATGATAAATAAAACAAGGAGGACCAACAAAAACAACCAATAAAGGTTGCTAGAAATAAAAAAAGAAAACAAAGAAATAAGAAATCCAATTTCTGATTGCTAGGAATCTTTACCACCATGCCCTTATTTTTCCTTAGCTTTTACATCGATCAGAAATACTGTCAGCTGTCAGTACACCATAACTACCTGCTCTCTACAGCACACTGCAAGGTGACTTCGAGCTACTGGGTCAAAAGCACCATATGACATCATTGCTTACACTGACAGAAATTATGAAAACACCTAAGATACTACCACTAAGTTCAAATATCAGTATTGAAATATTAAATTAACTTGTATAGACATTTTCATTTCGCCAAAAATAGATACTATTGTGGTATATACAGTGAATTTAGAAAAACCTTCAAAGTAACCAAAAGGAAGGAAAGATAGTTTAGGGCTAAAAAATAGGATATTTAAAAATACATTAAGCTTTGTTATTAACAAGCTCTTATTTTCTAAATCTTCTCAACTTCACATATATATGAGAATATATTAATTCTACTTGAATATTCCAATGCTTCTTCAGAAAATTCTCTCTAAAATTAAATTTATTAATAATACCATTAGAAAATTAATATTCTATAGGCATTTATGAAAACATTATAATTTTAGTGTAGTATCATTTAAGGCTGGTTATTGTCAGGTGCTCTTAAAATAACTGATTAACCTGAAAGAAATTAAATTATTGGAAGTCTGGGGTAAGGGCAGACAGATACTGTTTACTATCTAAGCACATTTAAAGTATCACATCAAAAATCAGAAAAATGAACCTGCAACAAATGCATTGCACTTAAAACCCAGGCAAACTCCAGCTACGAAAAGAGCACATTCAGATCACAGAGAAAAGCGTACTGAATAACCACTGCATGATGATTTCTCATGTGCACCTTCCAGTTTTTCAGTGGGCATATCATAAAGCAATTCCATGGTAAGATACGATGACTCCCACTATGAAGACATTATTCAGATATACATTTGGCATCTCAACATTGTTATTCAAAATGTTCTAAAAAGAAATCAGGACAAATTTATACCTTTTCCCCTCACCTCACCAATGCAACCTCAAAGGAAAGATAAAACTCGAATGCTTACCTCGCCAAATGGAGTATAAAACTGCACAGTGTTCACATCCTTGTCCTGCGTGACCACCTTCTGTGAGCCAGCCACCGCCAGCACGCTGCC